ATTTAATTTTTTAATTTATGGTTTGCTAGAGAAATTGATGTCCCCCCGTAACTTCCAGCCGATCATATGGAAGGCTGGATAATTCCAATTTTATAAGTTTTATATATGAAACATATTATGCACTTGTAAGTTGTAATAAAAGAAAAATAACATTTGACATTATTATTGTCTTCATTTTCTATTGCCCATCTGCTCCGACTAATCAGATTTGGCCTTTTAATTAGTTATTACTTTCTCAAATCAGTAGATCCAGTTTTTTCTTTAAAGGTTTACAACTTATAAATTCCAACTCTCATGAAATAAAGGAGATGGATTTTAGAAGGCAAATTTTGTTATGTATAAACAAACGAGTAAACAATTATCAAGTAATTGTAAAGACACGCACTATAATTCTTTTTGCATTGGCTAGGAATTGAAAGCCATTGTCGATATGATCATATGATGAACAATTGTTCTTCCTCAGCTGGTTGGAAGTAACACATATACTCCGTCTATATATATTCTATCAAAAAATAGGTTTTTGGGCCTATTAATTGATCAGATTAATAGCTAGAATTTTATTTTAAAATAATTACATGATCTCGACTTAAAACTATACATTTCCGCTTTATTCTCACTTTTTTAAACCCCGTTCCAAGTCAAACCGGGAAATATTTTATAGGACCGAGGGAGTATTATGTTTTACCAATATACATGGATTTGCAGACCTACACACATTGATTTACGCACCTGTGTGTTTACTTTTCACAAAAAGCAGTATACAGATAAACACATGATTGACAAGGATTTTTGACCGGGATCCGCGAAATTGGTGAAGATTTTGGCATAGATATGTCAAATTTGTGTCGAAAATAGTTTGGCACGAATTATTTGACACGAAATTATCGGCGAATGCGTGCTAAATTTGTGATAATCCTGTATTTTTGTGGTTGTAGTTGTTAGGGACAAATGTTGTTCCTACTGTCTTCTCTGATAGCCAAAGTGCTATATATCTGTGCAAAGACCCTATGTATCATGAAAAATCTAAACACATTGATGTTAGATTTCATTACATTAGGGATGAGATTTCTAAAGGTAACATTAAAATTGATAAGATTACTGGAGATTTTAATCCTGCTGACTTTGGCACTAAAATTGTTCCTACTGCTAAGTTTTTGTTTTGCAGGCAGTTCTTCAAGATCTTTGAAGTACCTTGATCGTGAGGGTACTTATTTGGGTTGATGATGAAATGGTGTTATCTGGTCCAAAGAATCCTAATACTGGCAATGATGAAAGTATGCTCTTAGGAGCTGTGCTGCATCGGAATTAGTCTTAGGAGGGCAAATTGTTATATTTGTAATCCTAATTCTAGTTATTTTTAATATGATGTTTAGTACATAGATAGGAAGGTAAAGCAAGGTTAGGAAAGTAATTAGGTCTGGCCCGTTTCAGTTTGTTTTTGAGTTTGGGCCTGATTATTTCCTTGGTCCAGTCCGGTTCTCCTTATTTGATCCAGCTCATTCGATTCGCCTATAAAGGCGTCTCTTTACCCGTCTGGAATCATCTTCTGCGTCATTCTAAAAACCCTAAGTCTGAGAGGCAATTCCATTCGAGAGCTTGTGCGACGATTGAGAGAGAAACCTCTGGTTCTCTTTTCCTGATCTGATACCACTTGAAGCCAGAATAAGCTGAGGAAGGCAAGGAGTAAATCGTGTGAAGAAACTTAGATCCAGAGCAGTTGGTTCGACTTCAAGAATCTGATAACTCCTGGGTTTTGTTGGTTTCGTCCGGTTATTTCTGTTCCTTCTCTTATTTTATTCGTGTGCTTGTGTTTGGCTGATTCTTGTGTGTTAGATCTGTTAGTTTCGTGCCTTGCTTTGCAACTATCTGTGTATTCAAACTGATCTGAGCTAGTGGATTCTTGGGACCGGGTTTCCCCTGTTGAAACCCCGCAGAGTAGGATTTATCCGAACTGCGTCAACATATCGTGTGTTCATTTCTTAATTTATGTTTTTGGTTAAATTTTGGAACTTGAATCTGGTATTATGACTGAGACTATTGATATAGTCTGTGAACAGTAGTCTTATGATGTACAGTGTATGACGATAATAATATACTCTTTCCGATTTTTGTATCTTCTTCACAATTTCTTTTATTTTGATTATCCAAAAAATTTTGTGGGTGGAGACAAACTAATTAAAATAGTGCTAACCGTGGACTGCTAGGGTTCTCTCACATCGTCCGAGTTTGTTTCTTCCGAAGCCGTTTTTGTTTTCGGATATGGAGTTGGGGGCGATGTCGATGCATCAGGGTGGCGTGCAGGGAGAGTAGGATGTGCAACCTTGAGGAGCAGCAGTCTATTGAGATGTTCACACAAATTCTTTCCAATTTTATTTTTGAAAAGTTTTGCATGTCTAATGTCCATGAACTTTTTATTTATTCAATCACAATCATACATTTCTACTTTATCTCACTTTTTAAAACATCATTCCAAGTAAAACCGATTTTTTTTACAAGATGGGAATAACAAAAAAGATGACACCCCATTCATAAGCTAAGGTCCCCCAATATCAATTAATTGAGAAGATGTAAATTGAATTTTAATCACAAGTTGGTCGATAGCGAGTGAGCCTCTGGTCCAGCCTTCAAAAGCTTGCAAAGGGTTTATGATTTTACAAAGTAACATTTCACGAAAATTGTCGAGTTTCAAAACCCGAATGTGAAAAATGAAAAAAATTACATTAAAAAATTAAAAAAAAATTCTAAGTTATATTAGACATCAGTCTATCATAACTCGTGCATAGATCCTTTAAGCGACTCGGTGAATTTGTCCAACCCGCATGGCACCAAGCAGGAAAGCATTATGGATAAAAAAAAGTCATCTTCTATCCTCATAGGACTCATAAAAAACAAAATCTAGCGCGTTCACATTTTTCATAGGTATGACGGGACGCAAAATCGGCAGCGCCTAGGGCTGGGATCGGTTCAGTTCTTACTCAAAATGAGTGGAACCGTTAATAAAAATTTTAACTAACGAAATCGGTTCGGTTCCTATAGAAAAGATCAAGAACCGTTATGGAACCGAACCGGTAGTAAACGGTTCGGTTCTTCCTTTTACCGGTTCCTAGAATAATTTTTTCTTGTCTAAGAATTAGCACATAATTTTAAACACGTCGAAAATTCAAAACTCAAGTATTAAAATTTTATTTGAAGCTCTAATCACTTCAAACATCAAAGCTCAAACTTAACTAATAAACTTTGAACACTTAATAGAACAAAAGTGATTTAAATTTTCATGTAATAAATCAAACATTAAAAATCGTTGTAGTGTCGGAGCGATGAAGATTACTCGTCATCATAGTAGCAAGAATAGGACGCTTACTTCAAGTCTTTCAAAACAATAAAAAAAACATTGAGTTTGCATGTATAGATATAAAAAAAACATTATTACATTCTATTGATTCATAATAAATGTAATAATTAGAAATATCATGAAAATAGTAAAGTAAAATATGTGCAATCAACTACAAGTTATTTGAGTTATTTTATATTTATAAAATTTATGTGATGGAACAAAACTTGATTTGTAGAAAGGAGTTTAATTTATTATATCAACCTCATGTACAATATATATTACTTCTTTTCCATTGGTTAAATTAGAATTGTTAGTTAAATATCTTATATTGTTTTATTATTGTTGTTGTAGTGGTGGTTATTATTGCTATATTATTATTATTATTATTATTATTATTATTATTATTATTATTATTATTATTATTATTATTATTATTATTATTATTATTATTATTATTATTGTTACAACTACTACTACTACTATTTTATTTTATTTTATTTTATTTTATTTTATTTTATTTTATTTTATTTTATTTTATTTTATTTTATTTTATTTTATTTTATTTTATTTTATTTTATTTTATTTTATTTAATAACGGTTCCTTAACGGTTCCATGCACATATTGTTTATAGGAACCGGGAACCGAACCGTTATAACCCGTTTCGGTTCGGTTCCTACAAATGAGGCATTAATTGTTAACGATTCGGTTCCTAGATGTTGTTAAGTGTTAACGGTTCGGTTCCAATCGGTTCTACGGTTCCCGGTTGCAAAATCCCGCCCCTAGCAGCGCCCCTCTGGGCGGAACAAAATCGTCTTGGCATAAATTCTAGCGCGTGGATTTATATGATATGGTCAAGATCCATGGCTGACTTATCAATCATGTGATTAGGTGCGCCACTTTTTTCACAAGCCTACGTACTATTTTGTTTGGCTTGCGTTGGAATATGACGTGGAAATTACAATGCTGTGCGCGGGTTGAATTTTCCTATACAACTACTCCTTACTAAAGTACGTAGTAGTTGGTTTGTTAGAGTCCCACACCGGAAAAGTTTGAATCAACAAAGTGATATATTAAGGCATGAGCTACTCCTCCTATCAAGGTTGACCATTTAGGATGAAATCTCGTGTCTTAACATGGTATCAGAGCCAAATCGATTCTGGTGTGGGCCCCCTTATGAAAAATGACGACATTATTATTAAAAAAATGACAATGACGAATCGACGAAAAAAATGAATGACGGCACGATCCAGACAAAGTGTCTGGTCGTGAGGAGGGGTGTTAGAGTCCCACACCGGAAAAGTTTGAATCAACAAAGTATGAAACCCCGTCCCTCAAAACTTGATCAAATTGACAAAGATTTGTGCAGAAGATATACAATTAATTGAAATCACATTTTCTTACTAAAAATATAATTTATTAATAATAATATTAATAATATATTATTATTATTATTACTACTATTATTACTATTATTATTATTATTATTGGTTGGGAGTGGATGGGTGGATGTCGGTTAATGTTGGTCTACTTGCAGTGTTCAAGTCCAATAGCGTTTGGTCTGCTACAAAGAATCTTCATTTGCCCGCGTTTTGACAACCTATTTTGTGACGGCCGCGCATAAAACTCAGCGTATTTAACTCCCACTAAACTCTCCAATTTTTAAGCACGCACTTAGCTTACTACTACTTTCATCCAGAGAAAGAGCTCTAAATTTTAATCTTCCTATATACTGCTCTAGCTGCTTATTTAATTAATTACCCTTTGACCCTCCCTATGCACAACACAGGCAGAAGAGTCAGGCGCTCTGAGGTTAATAAGTTTGATCCTCTTACTTAATCATTCATTAATAGTATAACACTCTTTGTTAACAACACCCTATGCTCTATGTATTTGGTGGCATGCAGGCCTTCTGGCCTTCGATTGTGATGAAGAAGTGGCTGAACATACAGCCTAAAGTGTACGACTTTAGCGAAGACGAGGTCGACACCGAAAGTGAAGATGATGGTACGTACTTATTTATCTAGTATGTACGCACCTTTGACGGAATCGTCTAAATATGAAAAATGAAAAAAATTACGCCAGAATCGTGTGAGAAGATTCAATCCATTATAGCTCTAATGTAGATCATCTCCTGTTACATAAAGGCCGGATTCATTAGACCTATAAATATAATGGGTTGAAGCTAAAATATAGAATAATTAGCGTTCTGAATTAATATAATTATCCTAGCTAGCCTCTTCAAATTCCTACATAATTTATGTGCAGCTTTGCCGGATAAAGATAGAAGGGACATTGAGGAAGATGAAGGCCGCGTATTACAAAGAAAGCCTTCCCAATGCTCCAACCGAACCTCTGGCAAACCCGCAACCGACTTTTCACTAAAGCACAGGAGAGGCAAATCTGAGACTCTACGTCTCCAGTACATCAGTAGGAAAGACGTGAGGTAGGAAAACTTTCTTATTTGTATGGCAACAATTTTTTTGCTCCTTTTTTGTTAATTTAATTAGTTTGGTACTTATATAATCTCTCCATCCCGATTAAATCTTGACGTTTGTTTTTGGCACGGTGTTTTAGGAGGTCAATGGATAGAAGAATAAATGTCTTTCATGTCCTTTGACTTTTGGGGGTAATTAATGTTATCCACTCAAATGTAAATAGTGAGTGGGTAGTGAAGGGTAGTTATTAGGACAATTTTAATGTAATAGGAGTTGCCTAAATAGGAAACGTAAAGATTTAAATGGGACGTCCCAAAAAGGAAAGTGTAAGGATTTAAATGGGATGAAGGGAGTACCATTCAATCCCAACGACACAGTTTGGATGCTCTCTTTGGAGGAAATTACCAAAATACGGGAGTTTTTGGTTTGACATGCCAAAATACGGGAATAAAATTGGGTTACCAAAATGCGGGAGTCGGAATTGGGCGTTCCGACCAGGGGCTAGGCTTATATTTTCCCTGACATCAACCTCCTGTCGGAATTCGTAAATCCGACTAGGTAGGTTTGGTGAATTTTTGTTTCCCTCATGCCGGAATTGGTAAATCCAACTAGGTAAATCTAAATTTTGTTTTTACAAATTATAGATCGAACATTAAAAGCCAAAAATTTGGGTCCAATTATAATAATTATATATGTGTTCAATTTTAATGAGATAAACTAATCACATAAATCTATTCAGATAAATTTTTTCACATAAATTTAATCAGATAAACTTTAATCAGATAAATCTTAATCAGATAAATCTAATCAGATAAATTTAATCAGATCAATTTTAATCAAATGAATCTAATCAGAAAAATTTAATGAGATAGATAAATTAAAAGAGACAAGTTTAATCAGATAAATTTTAAAAAGATAAATCTAATCAGATAAATTTTAATCAGATAAATTCAATCACATAAATTAAGCAGGGTAATGATCATCACACTAGTCGTTCTGCCGTATCAACATCCGTCTTGACAAGGTGAGCGGACGGACATAATAGTGTATACACACATGATTAAGAACAACAAGGGACACTCAAATCCGACTACCCCTTTTTTAGTATTAAATTTATTATTGTATGTACATATTTATTAATGGAATTACATTAAAAACTACATTTGTTTTGTTCACTTCTATTAAAATTACAAATATTGTATTTTAAACAAAATCAAATTTATACTCGTATTTCATTTTATGAATTTATTTAACAATACGGATGATGGATTAAAAAAATAAATAAAGTAATTAATTCAATGTTTTGTTCTTCAATAAATCAAAATGCATAATTTTCATTTTCAAATATATCATGGCATTTGATAAAAAAAATATATATATCATGGCATTACTTTTAGAATTCATAATTTACAATTCACTTTTACAATTACTAATATCACTTTTTTTGAAAACGTTACAAATATCACTTTTAGTATTAATAATCAAATAAATAAACTTAACACCTCACATCAATATAATAAACTAAACTGGACCTTCTATAAAAAAAACCTCTAGTTGGATTTTGGAATTCCGACTGCATGCAATAAAAAAAATAAAGAATACCCTTGGTCGGAATAGTGAAATCCGACCAGATGATCCATCTAACTTTTCAGAAACCCTACTTCCAGTCGTAATAGCCAATTCCGACTCCCGCTTTCCTAGAAAACCTAGATTTATCCCCGTCTTTTGGAAACACATGTTAACTTTTCCCGTATTTTGGGAAAACACCCCTCTCTTTGTTTATGTGTCTATTAAAGTTAGCCAAGTTTTAGAAAAGAATTGCTGCAAATAAGACTTTATAAATAGAACTAATTATGTTTATTCTCAAAATATGATTCATTTAATCCTATTGAAGTATAGAAATTTTCTAATTAAGAGTGAACGTGTCATATTTTAGGAAGAAAATAATTAATGATGATTCTATCAATTCACATTCTCAATCTTTTAGTCCTATTTAAGTAATTTTCACGAAGCTAATAAAAGTAACAAAGTCTTGGAGTAGAATCATATATTCACCAATTCAAAGATATGTCACCTTAGCTTATATTGTTTGAAAATTAATGAGAAAGCGGTTCAGTTCACTAGTCGTTGACTTACTCTTCTATAAGAGAAGTCTTGAGTTCAAAACTCTATGTAAGGAGTTTCAGATCCTTTACCTCGGGTCCCCTAACTGATCCCTTCTCTAGGGTAAAAAAAAAGTTTGATAATTGAGTCCTACACGGAATCCAAAACATTTTCCGTCTTCGTACGTGTCTTTATTGAACCTGTATGATTTTACTAATTTTTTTATTTTTGTGTATGTAGAGTTACAATAGGTACATGGAATGTTGCAGGGAGGCTCCCTGGTGAAGATCTTGAGATCGATGAGTGGCTTTGCATGAAAGCACCCGCGGATATTTATGTCCTTGGGTAAGATTTCTTAACTAACAACATTGTGTTGTGAATTCATATATATGTGAAGCACATTTAGCCCCTGTTTGGTTTAAAGGAGGGGAGGGAAGGAGCAAGTAAAGGAGGGAAGGGGAAGGAAGGACAAGGAAGGATTTTAACAAGCATTTGTAATTGGTTGGAGGAAAAGGGTATAGTAGGAAGGTTTAATAAAATAAATTTCCTAATAATATACTCTCCTGACCGTGTGATTGACATATTATAAGTTTATTCACATAGCATAAGTTCATCTACATAAAAGGAAAACCTTTTATTCACGTAGTATAAGTTTATGACATCGGATCATTGAACTCTCCTGAAATACCCCAATTCGGAGGAGTCAAAATGGGGGATAGTGGAGTTTTTTTTAAAGTGTTCCGGATTCCTTCCCTTCCTCTCTATTTCTTCCAACCAAACAAACATGAATCCTCTATTATCCTTCCCTTCCTCCCAAAATCCTCCAACCAATCGTGCCCTTAGTAACGCTCAGAGAGGAGTGGCTATCGAAAGAGGAGGACAAACCCAATGAATGATCATTGATTAGATTTGTTCGTCCAATATGTTGAATTATGAAAATACTAGTCCGTATACTTTAAAACGTACGTAGTACTAATGTAGGTTGTCTAATAATAATTATTATTAAAATACACATAAATGTGTTATCCAACTATTATAAACTCAAAGCTTACTCCCTTTCTTGTTCACGGTCTTAGGATACTGCCCACTATGTATTTTGTTAATTCTATGCTTACATATTTTCAAGTATTTTGTACTAGTAGCATTTATGTTTACTTCCGTAGTAAAATAGTCATTTCTCTTCCACTCTTTCCACTATATAAATATTGATACGGTATGCACATGCATAGTTTTACCGGTCAACTTTGTTTTGCGGGTAAATAATGCATAATGTATTTGTCAAATTTCAATTGTGGCAATTAAAACATGGATAACTGGATAAGTGACCCCAGGAGAATTGACCACAGTGGTGTTGAATGCGACTATTAATTTTGATTATTAGGATGTCCCAATACTCATTATCGTACTGGTCGCTAGATGTGGTCGATCACATGATATTTATAAAATGTTTATAAGACAAATTATATACTTCACAAAAAATGTCAAATAAAATGTTCTCCCTCCTTTCTCCAAGTTAAATCATAGTTTGACTTCACATATTTTTAGGTACGAAAAAAAAGTAAAAGCTTACTTTTAAATTACTCTTGATATTTAAAGCGTGGTAGTGGTCCAAATAAGTTAAAAGAGGCAAATGAATAGTAAAGTAGGGGGGAAATGATACTTAAGTACAAACTTACCAAAATTAGAAATAATGTAAAATAAGAACTAATGTGTAACTAAATATTTTATTTATCTATTAAAATAAACATTCTCTTAATTTCAAAGTGTACTATTATTTGTTGACACAAAAGCTAAATGTGCCATGTAAATGCTTTTATAAATGTAAGTGCATGTGATATAGTTTTGTGTAAATGTAATATTGCTTGGTGCTACAAAAGTTACACCAGTATGTTTTGTGTGAATATATTTACTTTGTCTAGTAAATAGAACACGACGAACTTAATTATATTTAAAATCTGAATCACTATCATTGAAGAAAAATAAGACAACGTTTGTACAAGAGTTGTAGAATCACCAAATACATGGTGTTATAAATAATACTCCGTATAAAATATGTGTAAATATAATATATTTTTGTGTAAATAATGAGACAAATGAACTTAATTGGATTAAAATGTAAATTATAAATATCGAACAAGAAGGTATCGCTCTAACAGAATTTATAAACTTGTCAAATACAAATAAGACCTTGTTTGAGATAGAAAAAATTCATTGAGAATTCTTGATGAAGATACAAATTATATTGATATGTATCGAGTGAAGAATAAAAAACGTGATTAGGAGCCCATTTGGTAACACCGTTATTCGGCTTATTAAACTTATCAGACAACTTTTTCACCAAACTCGTAACTTTTGATTTTGCGCGCTGAAATGTGTAATAATAAGAAAAAGTAAGGTTCAAGTTACTTTTCTGGCTATTTCGGCTGAAGTTACTGTAGAGGGCCATTTTAGCTATTTTTACATATAATTTTTTGTTTATTTTATTAATAAAATATATTTTAAATTTAATTTTTTCATAAATCATCAGAATCAGCCAATACACCCACTTAAGCAAGAACTTCATAAATTTCAGTAGGATCAGCTGATTCCAGTGTTAAATTACTAAACGGGCTCTAAATCAGATTCAAGAAGATGAGAATTTAAGAATGAAAAAACGTGAGAAGAAGAAGAATACAAATCTACTTTTGCAAGAAAAATAGTTTTGCATCTTTGACGTAGTATGCTAGCCTTAGGCTATTTCTTGCCCGACTCTAACTTTGATGTAGTTTTCTTGCCGTAGCGATTCTTAACCCGTCTCTAACTCCTACAATTTGTCAACCGAGGAAGCTTGAAATTAAACATTGAAATTGAATTCAGAGTTAGTGCAACATGACGAGGAACCAACTAGGGTGTTTTTATCTGGACTATAATTTGCTAATCTGATCTGGTCTGATCTGTTAATGTCTGGTCTATTTGTATTTTTGTAACTATCAAAGTCTGATCTAGTCTGGTCTGGTCTGGTCTAGGGCGGATTACAGTCCAAGTAAAACATCCTAGGTATAGATCAATTTTATACGTGAAAAAACTATGTGTATACACTAATACACATGTCATTGAATAAACTATTTATTTGTTTGTGGATAGCCTATTCACAGACATGTTAGAAATTAAACGCAACACAATACGAAAGATAATAACAAAGACACACGAATTTGGTAACTCAGTTCGCCACAAAGGACTATGTCTGAGGGCGCTACCAAGCCAGAATGTTACTATTGTTACTATTGTTTTTTTGATAATGATTACAAGGAGAGAACTTGTATTTATAGAGAGTAAAACCTAACCCCTACCAATACAGAACTCGCGGCCCATATATAAAAGGACCCAAAAAAAATTCGGCCGTCCAACTCCTCGTCGAAGGAGTTGGATCGACGAAATGAGCTTGGTTATACAGTCTCTAACACCTTACAAGACAGAACATGTTCACCGAAGTAAATGTTCTATCTGTCCACATGCTATCCACACATAGAAAATAGTCTATTCACCGACACGTGTATTGGTGTATACAAAAAAGTGTGTACAACAAGAATTTTCCTTAACACATTCACATGGACTCCCGATTTCTGAATCGCTCATATATGAACAGTTTTACGCATTTTAAACTATACTATACGTTTTTATACGCTTTTTGTGTACACCACCCTTTTTTATCTGTGTACATAAGCCGTTCGTTTAAAAACCATAGAAATTATATGTGTACACAAATGAGTGTATCAAAAGTATACACTTTTTTAGGACAATAATAATTGTTCAATAGATTTTCTCATTCTTCCAAAAGGTTGAATCCCCAACCCCAAGACCCCCCCACGCCCTGACCCGAACAAGAGTTTTGGGAGGTTGTATGTCACGGTGACTCAGTCAACCCAATGGTCGTAAACTTTGTACCCGTGCGCACCAGAGGTCCAGTCCAACACGCAGGAGCTGTAACCTCCACACGATCGATGCAGTGTTTCGATCTTTGACCATTCTTCCGACTTTGTCACCTCAATATATTTATCCAAATTTGTGTTTATGCCTTTTCGTTTTTTGCAGTTTTCAGGAGGTGGTACCCCTGAACGCTGGGAATGTGCTTGGAGCAGAAAACAGAAGGCCCATTACTAAATGGGAAGCCATTATTCGCAGAACACTGAACAAAACTATTGGGCCTGAATCTAAGCCCAAGAGCTACAGCGCTCCTCCCTCTCCAGAACTCAGGACTTCTACTCCTTCAGACATAATTGCAGATGCAGAAATCAAAGACCCTTCATGCGAATCATGCATGGTTACAATTCCGAAGAATCTAAGCTTGAAGCAGGGTTTGGGTTTGGATTGGCCCGAACTTCCTCTGGATGGAACTCCCCAACTTCTGCCTTCAACCTTTAAGCTTAGAAGGGTTCTGAACAGTTGTTCACAGGTTGGTTTTGAGGTCCTGGATAATCCAGTTTCATTCGGGCCTGTTGGATTGGGTCTTGGCGGGCTGAAAAGTGGGCACCATAGCTCTGGAGACTTGGAGTCTCTGTGGACCGACAATCTTACTGATGGCTCTGATCAATTCTCTGAAGAAGAGGATGAGGACGGTTTTGGGGATTTTCCGGAGGTCAGTGAAGAAAAAGGTGTTAGCTTGTTAAAGAAATCGCGTCCAATGTATGTTCGAATTGTGAGTAAACAAATGGTCGGGATTTATGTTTCGGTTTGGGTACGAAGAACATTGAGAAGGCATATCAACAACTTGAAAGTCTCTCCTGTCGGAGTTGGACTGATGGGATACCTCGGTAATAAGGTACTTACTCCTTGTAGTTTTGACATTTTGACGATCGAGTGGAAAATCTGAAATGGGTCATAAAACCTGAATTGAAAGCGCAAAAAAAATCTTTAACTAGTGCGTTTGATTGGCTTTTCTCATGGAGCTGCCAAGCCAGAGTATTTCTCTATATTTATGAGAAATAGGCAATATATATGGGAATGATATTTGTAATGGGAATGCAATCCTAGAACCAAAGAAAAAGGGTGTGCAGAAAAAAACACAACCATGAACAACCTCCGAACACCGATACTCCTCGTGAGTTGGATCTTTGTGATTGAGCTCTATAGCGTCTAGTACCATTTGGTGTCCACTTTCTGCAGCCAACCACAACTAACATCATTGCTCATAAGTCAATGATTAGAGAGTAGATGAGTCACTAATATAATGACCATCATTAGAAGTCAATGACTAGGGTGTTAATGGCTCCTTAATGACCATCATTAGCAGTCACTGACTACGGAGTCACTGCCTCACTAGCTGATCGAAGGCGATCAGGGTGGTTAGTGTGTCACGGGCTCTCTAGTCAATGAATCAAATATGGTGGTTGACATTGGAGTATGAGCCTCTAACGGTTAGTTAGTTAATCTTATTAGGCACTACTTTCATCATGAACTTTTCTTTTTTACTTCGACTTGACATGATTATTAAAAAACAAATTAATGTAGTTGAGATTTAGTCATCGAAACTGAGATGTAATTTTAGAAGAGTCTAAAAAGATAATGGGGATGAAATTTCAGTTCAAATTGATTTATAAACTCTTTAGATAGTTTGAAAAGAAAACTCATGGTTAAGTAGTAAAATTGTAAGGATCATACATCTAGTCCTGCTAAACTAAAGCCTATTAATAACAAATGTTTGATTTTAATCGCAGGGATCTATTTCAGTGAGCATGTCTCTTTACCAGACAAAACTATGCTTTGTCTGCTCACATTTGACATCTGGACAGAAGTTGGGTGCTGAGCAGAGGAGGAACTCTGATGTGAATGAAATCTTAAGGCGCACCAGCTTCTCCTCATCGGTGTTTAAATCAGAAACTGATTATCCTCCTCCCTTAACAATCCCATCTCACGAGTAAGAAAATGTCTTATCATGGTCAAGCTATCTACTAGGTCCAGTCGCTTAAAGTTTGATCTGGTTCTAGTTGTAATATATTATGTGTTGCATGTTTTGTCCGGTTTAATGAGTAAAATAAGTTGAAGAAAACCCGTTAAGTCATGTACTTGATCTGTTCTTATTTCACTTGCCCCTAAAAATCACATATTTTGAATTGTCTTTCTAAAAATTATCCTCCATTTCTTTTTAAGGGAAGGGTTATGTGGTTTATGTGACTTTTTTTCGTTAAAGATATATTCCAATCACGCCGTTTCATTTTGTTAATCTCCATCCTAGGACGAATCAGGCGTCTCTTTAGGGGACAAGTGGAGTATTTTATAATATGAAAGAGCTATTGACCAAATTGTTTCGTACTACCTAATATTTAACATTATTTTTATTTTATGTTCCTTATTATTTTATCTGAACATCTTGAATTTTAATATAACATAGGACCTTGATTTCATGCCAAACAGTCAGATATTCTGGTTTGGAGACTTGAACTACAGAATCAATCTAACAGATACCAAAGTAAGAAAGCTTGTTTCAAGAAAGAAATGGGACGAGCTCTTGGACCATGATCAGCTCACCAAGGAGCTCAGGAGTGGATGTGTGTTTGAAGGTTGGAAGGAAGGAGCCATTAACTTCGCTCCAACTTACAAATATGAGTTCAACTCAGATAGATATGTGGGGGAGAGCGCGAGAGAAGGGGAGAAGAGGAGGTCGCCTGCATGGTGAGTTTCTTATAACTTCAGCCTCATGTGGAAGCTCAAGACAAAGTAAATGTGGGGGCGCAACATTGGGTTAGGGTGGCCCGCATGTTAAGACAACTCTTTCCTAATATTGTAATGTAACTTCTTTTTCCTCTAGAGCTAACCCCATCAGTGACTCTAGTCTAATATAATGACCATCCAGCTCAACCGAACATAATTTCTTCAATCTTTCCCAGTCATAGGCTCAAATAGCTTTGAATCTTTGATGTTGCAGGTGTGATCGTATAATGTGGTTAGGGAAAGGCATCAAACAGATTTTTTACAATAGGACAAATATAAGATTATCGGATCATCGACCTGTGAGTTCCATGTACGTGGTGGAAGTAGAAATCTTTAATCAGCGGAAGCTCCAACGGGCTCTCAATGTCAATTCTGCTGCTATACATCATGATAAGTTTGTTTAATAACATAGATGAATCCCCGAAGTTAGACCTTTAAGAAAATCATGTTGGCGCAGTTTTTTACTCTTATGATTTTTTCATTCATCAGTGGCAATAAATGTTGTAGATTATACCACAAACTAAACACATAAATAGTTATAGTTATAGTTATAGTTATAGTTATAGTTATAGTTATAGTTATAGTTATAGTTATAGTTATAGTTATAGTTATAGTTATAGTTATAGTTATAGTTATAGTTATAGTTATAGTTATAGTTATAGTTATAGTTATAGTTATAGTTATAGTTATAGTTATAGTTATAGTTATAGTTATAGTTATAGTTATAGTTATAGTTATAGTTATAGTTATAGTTATAGTTATAGTCTAGATTATGTCTGTATTATTATGAAAGTATAAACTCATTAGACAAATACATAAGGTAAAAAATCACTCATCGCAATAGTATCCGATTTAGTCAGCACATAACAATCTACTCAAGGGGCAAGTTTCTTGTAAGTTTATGGAGTGGCAGGATCTAAGGGGAAAGCTTTATTTGATGTAGCGAATTTCTTTTCTGCTGAAGTGCGGCTATTCTAAATCGCCAAACGGTGATTTTCTCATGCCAGGATCTAGTGGCTGCTAGGTTTTCTCACAGTTAATCTATCCATGTGGTGCTTTCTTTGTGGTTCATTAGGCAAGAAGCAGATGGACAGACAGAGGAGTATGAGGGTCTGGAAAATTGGTGCAAGGGGTGTGATACTTTGATCGTCATTGAGAGCTTGGAGGAGGGTGGGTGTTCGTTGGAGAAAAAGGGAAGGGAATGGTGAGAAAGGATGTTTCCGATTTTTAGCGCCTCAAACTACTGTAACACCCCGGCCCCGTAGGACCCGAGGGAGTTACTCCGGACCAATAGTACTGTCCCCACAAACCGCCACTAGCCTTTTCCGCGCACTTTGTCCTCACTCGTGCGCGCCCTGAGAAACTTCCCAGGGGGTCACCCATCCCAAGACTACTCCCGTGCAAGCACGCTTAACTTTGGAGTACTTAGTAGATGAGCTCCCTTAAAAGGAGATGCATCTTGTTGGTATGAGTAGTACTATTAATCCTTTTAAATTAAATCTCAAGTGTTACAATCACCCCCACTTAGGAACGCAACGTCCTCGTTGCGCCCATAAACCAATCTCAAATCTCAATCAAATCCCAGAATCCTCCCCCACTAAGTGACCGCCCGATCTCCAACGGGTCAACACACTGTCGCAGGGTTGCTCTGATACCACCTGTAACACCCCGGCCCCGTAGGACCCGAGGGAGTTACTCCGGACCAATAGTACTGTCCCCACAAACCGCCACTAGCCTTTTCCGCGCACTTTGTCCTCACTCGTGCGCGCCCTGAGAAACTTCCCAGGGGGTCACCCATCCCAAGACTACTCCTGTGCAAGCATGCTTAACTTTGGAGTTCTTAGTAGATGAGCTCCCTTAAAAGGAGATGCATCTTGTTGGTATGAGTAGTACTATTAATCCTTTTAAATTAAATCTCAAGTGTTACAACTACAATCAGTGTAAAACCAAAAGAGAGTGGATTTCTAAAGAATATGAGAAAAATATTTATGCCACAGCTCATCCTCCTCCAGAAGCACATTTGTGCTAGGAAGATGAGCTGGCCTGTGCAAACGATGGGCGGATCCAAGTATTAGAACTGCCCCGTCCCGCCTGGTCGATATGCTCAATATATAAAGTTATGTGACAAATATACATATATACTATTTTTTAAAAGGAGAATTTTTTATTAAGTAAAAAAAAGCGATAGAAACGTTAATGAAGGAAGAAATAAAAGAAATCGACAAAGCCATATAAAGACTAGGCTAACGAACTACTCCCTATCAACTAAGCTGCACAAACCAATTCCCTCAAAATTCTATTCGAAGCCCTTGATAACAAAATGCCCTTCCCAAGTCCCAGCTGTTTCCTCATGACCCCAATCAGGCTGCTCATTGTTGTGCAAATTTTGTTTGTTCACATGTTGAACAAGCCTTCAGGCTGGCAGAGGCCCCTAGCTTTCTTAAACACAGCCTGAGAACTGATTGTAACATGGTTGATTTTACTTAATGAACCTATTTGTTGGGCCTGCCGCGGGTCTGCGGTCAGCAATCTGCCAGCCTGCCGGTGCAATCGGACCGCGTGGCGCTTTGCCTATTCTATAAAAGGGGGAAGGGCGTGCTACACTATCAGCGATTGCTTTTAGTGTAGCGGTAAGCGCAACGATCCACAATTGGTATCAGAGCCAAAGGTCACGGGTTCGACCCCCGACAACAGCATGCTGCTCAGTTGTAGGCTGGCAGGTGCTGGGGGGAGATTGTTGGGCCTGCCGCGGGTCTGCGGTCAGCAATCTGCCAGCCTGCCGGTGCAATCGGACCGCGTGGCGCTTTGCCTATTCTATAAAAGGGGGAAGGGCGTGCTACACTATTAGCGATTGCTTTTAGTGTAGCGGTAAGCGCAACGATCCACACTATTTGTGTTTCCCTAAAAAAAACTGTCTCCTCATGATCCCACCAAATCTAACTAATTAATCAAAAGTTTTGCCTTAATTCTCTCACTCCTTTAGAGTAAAAACAAATGAGTGTTGGATAAATTTCACTCGGGATCAACTAGATGGTCCAACAATTTTCAATCCGTCAACTCCATTAGGGTTTTCTATATGAATTCTTTTACAAGACTCCTAAGGGATTTATTTATAGAAAACGTGTAAATCGGGTGCGGATGTAAATGGATAGGCTCAATGACATAAAAATCTAATAAATGATAAAGTAGCTCATCTAATCTACTTATCTACATATAAATGAATATTTAAATTGTACAACAATATAAAACAATATAACGCTCTCCACTGAACAAGTGTGGGTGTTGTTAAAGTTTAATGGTCGTCAGACCAGGGGTTCGAGTCCATATACTCTATTAACCGTCATCCTTTGCTTTCTCTTACTCAACAAAATAAAAAAATTATTAGGTTACATTTAAGGGAAAGGGAGAAAGACCATAATTGACACTAAGGTTATTTATAGAGTTGAAAATGGACACTAACCTTTTTTATAGATCAAATAAACCCATAATCCATCTTTTAGGTTCATTTTGGACACCTACTAACTGAACGGGGTGTTCCCCGTTAGACTTCAGAAAAGAAACGACAAACCAAGTCTCTGGGAATCAGAACAATGGCCCCGTCTAAGAACCACAAGTTTATCCTCAACCCTTCGCTCAAAACTAAAGCTAGAGGAACTGGGAGATATGGTCGGGGTAAAGGAGAACAAGTTTCAGCAACCTCCATTTCTTCTCAATCTGTCCATCAGTTCCAAAAATTTCAGAGACAGTAAGATAACAACCCTAATTCATTTACACCTTCATCTATGTTCTCGCTGCAGACGAAATACGAGGGGGGAATATAGATTATGAGAGAATCAGATTCATCATCAAGCTCAGCTGCAAAGGAAATTGCAAACACCCAGGGATCAGTCCTGAACCGAAGCAACATTCAATTTCATTATCCTTGCCAATGAGAAATGAGAAATTGTTTGATTGTCGTTGTGTTATCTTCTATTTTCATTGCAGTACTATGTGTACTTCTTAAGGAGTGTTTGCAGTTGATTAAAAAAAGCACTTTTCAGCTTTTGGCTTAAAAAAAGTTAAAAAGAGTGTTTTCAAATGACAGATTCTGCTTAAATTAATCACTTAAAAGCTAAAAGCTGGAAGCAGATGGAAGGGTGCTTTAAACTGCTTTTCACTTTTTCTATTACACAAAAAGTACTTATTTTACCAAACACTACCAACTTTTACTTTTTCAGAATCACTTTTTTCTCAAACACTACCAACTTTTACTATTAATCACTTTTCCCCAAATCACTTTTAAAAATCACTTTTTTAAAGTTGAAGCAATTGCAAACACTCCCTTAGTTAGTTTGTATTTTTAGATTGTGTATTCTTCAAGTGGAATCTCTGTAAAAGAAAATTAACTGATTTGTTCAGCTTCTACCAAGCTTTTACCAGTTTTATATTTAACATAACTTTTAGTTGGTATGTTGGTTTGTCTCATTCAAATCTACTCTAAATTTATCTGTTAGGAACATGTTTAAGTAATTGAAACCGATCATTCAGTTTTAAGAACAGGTCTGGGCAATTTATAGTGTTCAATTAATCTTTTTGAGGTGATTGTAATGCAAAATGATTAGAGTTTACCCAAAATTCTAAAAGCTAACTCTGATGATCATTTTTATCTTAAATGGTGTTTGAAAGTTTTGATTCAAAATTAAAAACAGAACCCAGCTTGGTTTTGTGCAGAGTACTGATTTATTCAAAGTGCATCACATTTATTTGTTTATGTTATAAAGCTTTATACTGAAAAACATGGCAGATTTGTTATTGTGACGTGAGAACAGAAAAATAACTAAAATAATTACAACCTATTTAATCAACACGAGTCAAGAGAGTCACTTCTTAAATGGATCACTTAGATGGTACCAAAATCACTTCTAGGAATTCTACCAAATACATTATTAGGATCAGTTACAAAACACTACATACAATAACTGTTTTGAACATGGATTGATTCATATGATTAGTTAAAACCTGAACATAAACTCATTGAACAATAAATAGAAGTAGTTATAAAATGCAAACTCTTGTTGATTGTCATGCCATTAAACACTAGTTCAAATATGCACATAAAACACACTACACTCTTGTTTATTGTCCTGCTAATAAACTCTACTAGATGTATTCATAAAACTGAAAATGCCTGCACGAGTAAAAGGCTGCACAAGTATAAAAATTATGCAAACTGATCATCCATGCACCAGTATAACAAGCTTGGAAAAGAAAAGTGTTGTAGTAGTATAAAAGGATAAAAACTAAAAATGCTGCAAACATTGGCTTGATATAACATCTTCCTTTACTTACTTTTACAAAAAGTCTAAATACGCTTTAGTTCCATGTGGCCAAGTTCCAAAAACGGTAAAAAGTGTTCAATACAAAAAAACACTCCTACCAAGTTGCAAAAAGTGTAGACTATATATAGAAGAGCATTGCTACCAACTTCCAAAAAACTAGTAACTTACTAGTATATCATACCACTACTGCAAAGTAAACAAAAAAGCAGTGTGATCCATTAATAAAATATAACAACAAAACAAAAAATGGATCAACTTAATGAAGTTTTTGAAATTTTCATAGAAGAAGCTCTCTAAACTAATTGGGCCTTCTGATTTTCATCTTCTCTAACTACCTTGATGTATATAACTGCATTTGTTCCATTCCATTGCAAACCAGGTGCCTTGATCTAACTTGTGAGCCATCACCCTTGAATTTGATTGTTCTATGAGTAGCATCCAAGTGGTTATCAGTGAGGGTATCACCTGAAGAATTCAATTCCTAATTTCCCTGAAGTTTCCTCCATGTGCAAGAATGACAAAGTGATGGTCCCGGATAGGGTAAAAGTCTAGAGGGGGGGGGGGGTGAATAGACTTTTAAATCTTTTTCAATTTTTGAAGTTTTTCCCTCTAGATGAATTGATCTATAATCTTTTGAGAGATTAATAGATGCACAGCGGAAGTCTTTACCCTTTATGTAATGAGTGTTTGACCACTTTCTAATTTTGGGAAGATTGGACTTAGATAGCTAGCAGTTGGCTTGGCAGTTAGCTTAGCAGTTGACTAGGTAGCAGGAAACTGCTGAGATAACTGCTAGAGAAATATTGACTTTACGATGAAAGTGATGGTAAAACGTTGTTTAGAACGCAAGAAAGATGTCTGAAAAAGTACTTAAGTAAGGTTAAATTGAAGTTTAACTGGAGCAGTGGTCTTGGCAGTTGGGTGGTACAAAGGGAACTGCTGAGCCACCTGCTTAGGTTATAAGCAGATTTTCAGAGATCCTTTTAAGCAAAACTTCGTGTAATGATGTTATGAGGATCTGGTGATGTTGAGTTGTTTAAAGGAAATATATGTATGTGGGCAGGGAGCTCAGCAGTTGGGTGGTACTGAGGAGACTGCTGAGGCACCTGCTATATTTTGAAAGTGAATTTCCGGGAACTGATAGAACAACCTTTTTGGTAATGCTTTAGCAAGTGAACTGTGTGGAGATAGCCTCAAAGAGAGTGAGTAATTAAGCAGAAGGATAAGCAGTTGGGTCAATTAAGACAACTGCTTAAGATGCTGCTGGCAAACTACAATCTTTATACGAGAAGTGCTGGGTGTGTGCTTTGTAGAGTGAAGTAAAATCAACACACAATGTATCCTGGTTCAGAGGTGGTGTAATCCTCCTACGTCCAGTCTCATTCTCTTTCAAATGGATTTCCACTAAAGTATTTAGCTCAATACACTTAGTGACAATCTGGCCTTTACAACACTTAGGCCTAGATTGAAGGTTTTTCACAATGAGTATGACACCACTCAAAGTTACTCAGTCCTTAGACTTTTCTCGATTGATCCAGTGGGGATCAAAAGGTACTCTATCTATCTAACTACACTTTAGGATCCGAACAACTGTTCTCCTAAGTGTTTACAACCACTTGTGAAATGTTACAAGAAAGTTCTAACCTCCAACTATGAACTAAGCTCCAAAAATGTGAAAGTGTTGATCTAATCTAAGAGCTTAGTGAAGCATGAGGCTAAGCAGAGAGTAAATTTGAGTTTGCACTTTCTCTTTTGCTAGATAGCTCGTATATGCTTTGATGAAAGTATTTCTCTACTTAGGATGCTCAAGCTTATTTTCGAACTCATGCTTCTACCTATATTTATAGGCCTTCATGGTTGATTAATCTCATCCGTTGGTTGAAATGGATTAATCCTTGTCGTTGAAGGTCTCTGCCAAGGATAAGTAGTACAATTGTCTTCTTGTGCTGGAGTCTTTAATGCGGCTGTCTCCAATTAGTGCCCGCTGGGAGTTCTGTCAAGTGTGCGTCCCATGCTATAGGACCAGTACTTGATTCAGCATTTAATGTTGGTCAAGCTCTGTCTTCCAATCATATACGTTCAATGCTATATATATACCCATGAGTAGCACAAAAATGTGACATTTAATCTTTGAGCCAAATGCTATATATACCGGTAGGATCTAAATATCCTATTAAGGTAAATTACCTTATTGCATTTTTATTTTTCCGGTAATACTTCATTAGTTTCAAAAATTTGTACATTTATTTTGTCACTTAAGATTAAATTGTCCGAACTTTAATTAAGACACAATGTACTAAAATAGAGTATAGTGGCATCATCAAAATCTATCAAAATTGGGTACTAACAATTTCCCCTTTTTTGATGATGCCAAAACTATACAACACAAGAAAGAAATATGTTTATTGCAATTCATTGAGATTGTTGTACATTGGTCTTAAGTCTAGAGTACAATAGTTTTTAGTCACTTTCGGACTTGAGAACTAATCTATTCTTGTTTCTTCTTAGCAGCTTCTTCTTTGGCTTTGGCCTCTTCTTCCTTTCTTCTTCTTATCTCAGCTTCTTCTTTGTAGAGTTGGTTTTTTCTTCGTGTTGCAGCTGCTTTCTTTTCTGCCAGAGATCGATTATAAGAGGGGCCTGCTTGTGTTGTCCCTTCCCCCTTTTTGGCATCAGCAGGGGTGTAGCTTTCTCGGAATAGAGCCTCTATTTCTGGATCAGAGTCAACGTCAATTTGTTGTCCCCTAGTTGGACGTAGGTCGTTGACCTCAATAGCTAGTGCAAGGACATTGTTACGAAGATCTGTTAGGTCCACCTTGACGTCCTCTTTGACTACTCGGTCCAGGTTTTGAAGCTGCTGATTTGTTGTTTGTTGGTGATGACCAAGTTTCTTAAGTTCATTTCCTTGTTTAAGGAAGGCCTCTTGAGTAGCTTTGTGCAGATCAGTGAGATGCTTAGCAACAGCAGCTCTTGTTTTTCCAATGGCTTCTGAATGTTCTACCTGTTTTGTAACCATTTTCTGGGAGAGTTGAAGGATAGCAGGCAGTTCCTTGGACTTGAGATGTTGTATGAATTCCTCATGCGCTTGAATTGTGTGAATGGCCTGCTCGAGATTAGTGGATAAATTAGGGAGAGAATTTACCTGAGCAGAGGGCTCTGCTCCAGCTTGAGAGGCATCTGCCGCTGTGTGTGCTTGTTGATATGCTAGAATTTGATTTTCTAGTTCTTTATCTCGAGCTCGAAGTTCTTCAAGAGCTTTGTGGATTGCCTCAATATGAGCTGGTTGGTTTGCAAGCTGAATCTGGAGTTGAGCCTTTTGCTCAGAGTTGAACACTTGTTGTATCATGAGGTTGCTCTTGATGTGCCTGTGAACTTCTATGAACCTCAAGTCAATGAGTTCTTCAAAATGTTTCTTCATTTTGATCAATCTCTTGTGTAGTCGCACCTCCGCATTACTGATGAACTTTATTGTTGCCCTTCTTTCGTTGATGAAGACTTCTGCTAGTGTGGGAGTGTCTTCTTCACCATCATGGAGAATGCGGTCTTTGTGGTCATGTGATGAAGTAGGTTCCTGCTCTGGGATTTCCTCTTGTTCTGGTTCCATGTTTAGGTCTATGAGTGGAGTCTCCTGCTGGGAAGTAGCAGCCAATTGTTCCTGGGGGGCTTTGGAAGACTCTCCTCCTCCATGAGTTTCCATCCTTGATTTCTCCAGGACTCTCCTTAATTCTTTATCACTAGAGGAGGAAGAGGAAATGATTTGTTTACCTCGTGAACTAGGAGGTCCTTGGAGGGCATTGTCAGCGTCATTATCATCATCATCATCATCATCATCATCATCATCTAGATCATCCTCAACATTGTTGTTTGTGATTGATTTCTTGGCAGTGAGATCATTTTTCTTAATGGCGTAGACTTGGTTTATTTGATGAAGGTTGGTTGCTTTGGCAAGATTCTCTGTGCCCAACCACTCTAATGTAAAGTCTTCTTCATCAATGAAGTATTGTAGGGTCTCTGCTTGATCCCGGATTTTTGTTAGTTTCCACTTTCTCCATTGTTTGACTCTGGTGAATTGTGCCTCTAGTTGCTCTAGTGGAGTCAAGTTTGGTGAGCTACCTGCAGGAGATGGAGGCACCTGTTCGTGCAGTGGAGTCTCGTTCTCTGGTTCTAGGAGACCCACCTTCTCTAGTAAGAGAGCCACCTGCTCTTCTTTTTGAGTCACTTTCTCTTCTTCTAGTGGAGTTATCTTGAGTGAGTTCGCTACTGGGGATGAAGGAGCCACCTGCTCTCCTTGCTGAGTTAGTCTGGGAATTAGAACAGAGAGAGGGAGAGCAGAGCTGTTGCTTCCATTGGATGAGTTGGAAGAGGACTCTGTTTCTTCTTGTATGATTGTTAGAGGAGAGGCTACTGCTTCTTTTTCTTGGATGAGTGAGGCCGCTTCCTCAAGTTCGTCTTGCAGATTCCTTGTTGCTGTTCTTTGTTTCTTGGATTTAGGGCCTTGACACCCTGAGCGTAGTCTTTTGGCTGTCTTGGTATCAACTTTCTTGGACCTGTATGCTTCATTCCTTGTGATTTTAAGTAGCTTACTCTTGGCAGGTGGCTACTTTCTGAGTACTTCATAGAGGTTCCCCCTCAGCAGGTGGCTAGGGATTCCTCCTCGATTTTGGAATAAGGTTCCCCCTGAATAGATGCCGGGTTATTCCTTCGCTTGATCTAGATCATCTAACATACCAAGTTCTTGCCTTAGTTGGTTGAATCTAGCTTCATTCAATGGCTTGGTGAAGATGTCAGCCAACTGCTTTTCCGTAGGGATGTACTCAAGCTTGATGGTCTTCTTCTCAACATGCTCTCTGATAAAGTGATGTCTGATTTCAATGTGTTTGGTTCTTGAGTGAAAGACTGGATTATGAGTGATAGCAATAGCACTAGTGTTATCACACAGTATGCTAATCTCCTTTGTTTCTTCTCCATAATCCTTCAACTGTTGTTTCATCCATAGTATTTGAGCACAGCAGCTGCCTGCAGCTATGTATTCTGCTTCGGCAGTGCTAGTAGCAATTGAGTTCTGTTTCTTGCTGAACCAAGAGACAAGTCTTCCACCAATTAATTGACAAGTTCCTGAGGTGCTTTTTCTATCAATTTTGCATCCGGCAAAGTCAGAGTCTGAATAACCATAGAGTTCAAAACCTCCATTTGTTGGGTACCATAGTCCAGAGTTAGGATTGCCTTTTAGATACCTCAAAATTTTCTTGGCAGCTAGAAGATGACTTTCCTTAGGCTTTGATTGAAACCTTGCACATACACCAACTGAGTAGGAGATATCTGGCCTACTAGTGGTGAGATATAACAAGGAGCCAATCAGACCTCTGTACAGGGTGGGATCAACATCTTTGCCATCTTCATCCTGACTTAGGCCTTGGGATGTATTTATGGGTATTTTCACAGTTGACTTGTTTTCAACCTTGAACTTTTTCATGAGATCTCTTGTATATTTGGCTTGGTTGATGAAGATACCATTGGGAGTCTGCTTCACTTGTAGTCCCAGAAAATAGTTTAACTCTCCCATCATGCTCATTTCAAACTTGCTTTGCATGAGAGTTGAAAATTTCTCACACAATGCTTGATTTGAACTTCCAAAGATTATGTCATCAACATAGATTTGAACAAGCAATATGTGGGGGCCTTCTTCAATTTTGAATAAAGTCTTGTCTACTTTTCCTTTAGTGAATCCATTATTCACTAAGTATTGAGAGAGAGTGTCATACCATGCTCTTGGGGCTTGCTTGAGTCCGTATAGAGCTTTGTGTAGCTTGTAGACTTGATCCTTCTCTCTATTGATTTCAAAGCTAGGAGGTTGCTCCACATAGACCTCCTCTTCTAGTAGACCATTTAGGAAGGCACTTTTCACATCCATTTGATAGACTTTGAATTCCTTATGAGCAGCATAAGCCAAGAATATTCTTATTGCTTCTAATCTGGCAACAGGAGCAAAGGTTTCATCAAAATCTATACCTTCTTCCTGGCAGTAGCCTTTGGCTACCAGTCTTGCCTTGTTCTTGACAATGGTGCCTTCCTCATCCATTTTGTTTCTGAATACCCATTTAGTTCCTATCACATGTTGATGATAGGGTCTGGACACAAGCTCCCATACATTGTTTCTTTCAAACTGGTTGAGTTCTTCTTGCATGGCTTGTATCAAGTCAGAGTCAAGTAGGGCTTCTTCAATTTTCTTGGGTTCCATTTGGGAGATGAAGCATGAGAAGAGTGCTTCTCTCTGAATTGCTGATCTGGTACGAACCCCTGTATTGATACTTCCAATAATTTGGTGAGGAGGATGTTTGCTCAACCATCTAACATCAGATGTGGTTGTTTTGGCTAGAGTTTGTTGGTCATCCTCCTTCTCTTCTTCATCTTCACTATCCTCTAGTAGAATAGTGTGATTAGGAATGTCATAAGTGCTCGGAAGGTTGTCTGTTGGTGAGCCACCTGCTGGCAGTGCTCCATATTCAGAGGTAACTGCTGGCAGTGGGCTGCCTTTGGAGTCAACTGCTGACAGTGGTCTACTATTTGTGTTAACTGCTTCCTTCACTATCATTCCATCTGTTTGAGTATAATTACTTGGAAGGCAGCTTGGAGCCTTTCCTGTGTCCTCCTTTGATTTGGATGACTCACCTTTATCTATTGATTGAGCAGTGGAGTGGTTTTCAAAGACCACATGGATTGACTCTTCTACCACCAGAGTTCTTTTGTTGAGAATCCTGAATGCCTTGCTTGTCGCTGAGTAGCCCAGGAAGATCCCTTCATCAGATTTGGGATCAAATGGCTTGAGATAGTCCTTTCCATTGTTTAGAATAAAACATTTGGACCCAAACATATGGAAATGACTCACGTTTGGCTTTCTTTCCTTCCATAGCTCGTATGGTGTCTTTTTGTGTGTCTTATGAATAAGACTCCTATTTTGAGTGTAGCAAACCGTGTTGATTGCTTCTGCCCAAAATCTTTTGGGTAATCCAGCTGCTTCTAAGATTGTCCTTCCGGCTTCTTTGAGAGTTCTATTCCTTCTTTCAGCAACACCATTTTGTTGAGGTGTTCTTGCTGCTGAGGTTTGGTGATGGATTCCATTTTCTTCACAATACTGAATTATTATAGAATTAATAAATTCAGTACCTCTATCTGACCGGATCTTTTGAATTGAGAGGCTTTTCTCGTTTTGAATTAGTCTCATCAATTCAGGGAGTTTCTTTTCTGTCTCATTCTTCTTCTTTAGGAATATGGTCCAAGTGTATCTTGAGTAATCATCAACCACAACAAGAGTGTACCTTCTACCAATTAAGCTTGTTGGTTCTACTGGTCCAAACAAGTCAAGGTGTAGTAGGCTTAAGGGCTTGGTTGAGGATTCCACTTCCTTTGATTTGAATGATACCTTGGTTTGTTTTCCTTTTTGACAAGCATCACAGAGATGGTCCTTTTTGAAGTTGATTTCAGGGAGTCCTTTCACCAATCCTCTTTTGGACAGTTTGTTGATTGTTTTGAAATTTAGATGGCTTAATTTGTTGTGCCATTCCCAACTCAAATTTGAATCTGCCTTTGTCACCAAGCAGATCCCTTCCTTTGCTGAGCTCCAATCAACAGTGTACATGTCCTTCTTCCTTCTACCAGTGAGCACAATTTTGTCATTTTTGACATCTCTAATCAAGCAGATGTCTTTGGAGAATGTAACATTATAGCCATTGTCACAGAGCTGGCTTGTGCTTATGAGATTGAACTTTAATCCTTTAACATAAGATATGTTTTGGATTGTAAGTCCATTGATGGATAGGTCTCCAGCTCCTTTGGTTTCTCCTTGTTTTTTCACATTCCCAAAAGTCACTTTGGGTCCTTCTCTTGTCATATAGTTGGACAGGAGCCGCCTGCTGCCTGTCATGTGCCTGGAGCAGCCTGAATCTATGTACCATGTTTGTGAGTCAACTGCTCCAGCACCTTCCTGTATTCATCATTGTTGAGCAGTAGCCCACAAGTTAGTGGGCAACTTCCTTTGTACAAGTTTGGGCATCCATGCCCATCTAGAACCATTTAGTTCTAAGCAAATTGGTCTATAGCCATTTGAAGTGTTATAATCATGGGGGATGGCTATGTATTTGTTAATCCTTTTCCTTCTTAAAATGGGAAATGGATTATTGGCTTTTGGAGGACACTGCTCAGTGTTATGACTGTGGTTGGTCTTATTGGTTGGTTGCCAACGGGTCCTTGGGGTTTGATGGTTGGGAAGTTTTTGTTTATACATGAATTTGGATTTTGATTTGGGAGCAGGCAGGTTCCTTCTTGTGGGAATATTTTGGGAGTTGAATTTTTGGTAGATTGGCTTTCTTGCATTTTGTTGGTTGCTTGTGGAGGGTGAGTTTTGAGTGAGTCTGGTGGGGGATAGATATCCGAGCCCTCTTCTCTTCCTATTTAGAACAACTTCAGCAGTTGAGTCACGGGTTTTACTATCCATGCTGAAGTTATTCTTTTTGTCTTTCAGCTCTTTGTTCTCTTCTTCTAAGACATTGTTTTTGGTTAAGGCATCTAACAATTTAGTATGAATAGCCTTAATGTCTTGTTTTAATCTATCATTTTCTGATCTTAAGAGAACATGGTGATTTTGGACTTTTTGGAAATCTTGTAATAAAGATTCCAGTGTAATATTGGTTGGTCCAGAATCACTAGAGCTATAGGAAGAGCAGGATGTTACCTCAACATCATTGTAGTGGTCTTTGGCCATTAGGCATTTTGGGGAGTTGCATTCATCATCTTTACTGAGCCATCTGCTGCTTTCTTCAGTGAGCCAGCTGCCGCCTTCTTCAGCCACCTGCCAGGATCCCAGGCATAGAAGTGCTTCCTCTGAGCTTTCAGATGAAGAGCTTTCATCACTTGAGCTGCTTTCATCTTCAGATTGGGGTTCCTCCTTTTTCTTTTCACTTACAAAAGCTTGTCTATTGCTTTTGAAGTCCCTCTTGTAACTAGCTTTGGGACCAGTGCCCTGCTGCCCTTGATACTTCTGGGCTAAGGGCAGAGGGCATTCATTTTTGTAATGTCCTGGCTGTCTACAGTTGTAGCACAGAACAGTTTCCTCACTGGATTGAGGTCTCCCTTGTCTTCTAGGTGGCAGGTTGTATGCTTTCTTTGGAGCAGTTCCCTCCTTCTTCATGAATCTTTTAAATTTCCTCACAAACATAGCAAACTGCTCGTCAGTGAGGAGATTATTTAGGGATTTTTCAGCAGATTTTGAAGTGCTTGGCTCAGACACTAGAGCTAGTGTCTTGTATTCATCTTCCTTCTCTTCTTTGATCTCCTTCATTTCAAATTCATAGGCCTTGAGATCACTGAAGAGTTTGTCGGTTGACAGAGTTCTGAGATCTCTGCTATCTCTCATAGCAGTTACCTTCATGTCCCATTTTGATGGCAGGCCTCTCAAGATTTTAAGGGAAATTTCCTTTTGAGAAAGTTCTTTCCCAAGGTCAGAGACCTCAGCCACAATCTTCAGGAATCTGGATTCCATCTCATGGATAGATTCAGTTGACAGCATTTTGAAATCCTCAAATTTCTTGAGGGCTATGGTTAGTTTATTGTCCTTCTCCTGTTCATCCCCTGTTCCAATCTTTGTGAGCTCATCCCAGACATCTTTGGCAGTTTCGCATTTCCTGATTCTGGGAAATATAGATTCATCAACAGATTTGAAGAGAATGTCCTTGGCAATGTTGTCAAGATTGTTTCTCTTCCTGTCCTCAGTTGTCCATTCCATTTTGGGTTTTGGAATGTACACATCATCTGTCCCTTCTGTGGTTCTGGATGTGATGACCTTCATTATTTTGATAGGTCCATCAGTGATTACTTCAAGATATATTTACACTTTTGCAGGGGGAGTCGTTTCTTGGCAATCAAGATTGCAGAAGTGTGTCGCTTTATCTACAACAGAAGCAGAATACATTGCTGCCGCTGAAGCAGGTAAGGAAATGTTGTGGCTAAAGCGCTTTCTCCAAGAACTTGGGATCCAGCAGAAAGAGTACAAGGTACATTGTGACAGTCAGAGTGCTTTAGACTTAAGCAAGAACTCCATGTACCATTCTCGTACAAAGCATATTGATGTTCGGTATCACTGGATACGAGAGACGATTGATCAACAACTGTTGAGACTAGTGAAGATCAATACAAAGGAGAATCCATCAGACATGCTGACGAAGGTGGTGACACGGGATAAGCTAGAGCTGTGCAGAGACATAGTCGGGATGCTTGTTTTGAATATGCCTGGAAAGGGAGAATTGAAGAATTCAATTTCCAGGTCATATCCAAGTACAAGCAAATTGAAGAATCCAATTCCTAATTTCCCTGAAGTTTCCTCCATGTGCAAGAATGACAAAGGGATCTTCCATACACCTAGGAGTGACCTTCCTTCCAACCACCATTGAAGCTTCCTTCCACCTTCATAGTACCTAGTTTTGGTGCTATAAATAGAGAGCTTGGAGAGTCTTTCTATCATAAAGTAAATTAGAATAGATCATCATAGCACAACCAAGAAGAGTTGTGAATATCCTTGAGAGATATGTGAGGTGTTGTTTTTGAGAGTTTTTAGTTAGAGCTTGTATGTCTCTTCTTTCTATTCTTGAAAGTAATAGAAGTGTTTTTCTCTCATATTAGCACGATCCTGTTATTCCCAACATCACCTCTGATTTCCTTCTCATTTGGAATTGGAAATCTAACTACAACGTCAGCATGATGTGGTATTTGTGGTTGAAATTCTGAAATGCTCTCTTCACTAGACATACCGGGCTGCAACCATCCACAAATATAAGATGTTCAACATAATTATCAACCAATCTTATTTTGAAAATGGACTGTACTTTGAACATCCATATTAGGTATAATATACTCACATTGTAAGTCTTCACACTGGTACTCACATCAACATAACATCTAAATCCAGTTATGGGCCGGCTTTTAATTCTGGCTATTCTTCTAGCCGTGAATTTGGACTGGCATCTACCATTTTTGCTTTGATGTATTGATGGAGTTGGTGTTAGCAATGGAGTAAAAGCTGTAGTGGAAGTCCTCTTTAACCCCTTGTGTCTTGTGTTTCCTTAACCACCGTAGTTGGCAAGAAGATATTAATTACCTTCCCAGCAGATTCACTACGTTCTTCTAAGCCTGAATATTAAGATATTTTCTCATCTTCCTTGTTTATTTGCGGACTTGTAATTTTTACTCCTTTGTCCTGCGAATGGACTTCGCTCTAGTTTGAAGCTTTGGCGGAAGGAATGGGAAAAGGTGCATTTTGAACTACTTTCGTTCAAATTAAATTAAAAATATTGCACTTTATGCAGGCGTTATTGCACGACGTGCACGACATTACTGCACTTTATGTTGGCTTTACTACACGATATTACAAAAATGTTTTTTTAAGCATTACGGAAATGTTATGAATTTATCCTGTTTTTTCCTTATGAAAATGTTATGGATTTATCTTTTTCCTTTTTTTCCTATAACAAAAATGGTATAAACTTAACCCCTTTTAGTCCGGGCAAACCTCAACTTATCACTATAATGACCAAGACAAGCGTTAAATTAAATGATTGAGTGGAAGATGAATGCTACAGCACCCATCGAAAAAATGAGAGTTATATCATAATTTTTTTTTATTTAATTAAATGATTCAATAATGTTCTAATTGGTCCATTTGGACAAGATACCGTACTTTAATTTGAGTGTACCATGAAAATTGCTTTATAATTCTGCGTACTTCATACACGTACTTCGTACTCCATATATACTATCCTCCTTTTTTTTTTGCAACAGTTTGACTTTCACATTTTCCAATGCACAACTTTGACTATAATTATACTTAAATATATATTAATAAACATTATAAAAATTTGATATTTTGAAAATTCACATTGATAGGAATTCAATAACATTTTATACGTAATATTTTTTTTATTTATATTAGTAGAAAATTGTGATGAAAGTAATGTCTGTGAATATTGTAAAAATCACAATGTTGCAAAAATTAAAGAACGGAGGAAGTATAGATACCGTACCTTGAGTCACATACTATTGGCAAATGAAAATTTGATATTCATGACATAGGTTGAATATCTAGAGCTTTAACTATCGAACCAAATAATCATGTGTCACTACTTAATTGATTAAGTATATCTTTTTCAATTTCATGTGTTTCAATTCTAAAACTACTCGAACGTAATTATTTATCCAATTATGAATTATCCCTTAAAACTACTTAAACTCTATTCATTCTAACTTCTTATATATTATGCTCGATTGATGAAACATATCAGATTGTAATGATATGATAAGAAGAAGGAACTTGCAACAAAATACATATATATATAATCAATAATTGTTCATCAAGATGCCTAGGCAAAATATTTATGGAAGAACTAAGAGAATATCCATAGCAATGCGAAGAAGGCGCACAAGGGCAGAAGAGGCGGCACTAGTGCAGTTGAGAATTTCTTCTATCGCACTTGACATGTTATCCACTGCAAAAGCCACAGGCTTGACATCATATTTCAACTTCTTGATCGCTTCCATGATATCACGTACTAGCCTTTGATGATAGTTGGACTTGGGGCCACACACACCTTCCATGGGAATACCACCACTCCCACTTACCACCTTGGACAAGGCCTTCTCTAGTATGATCACTCCAAACATCCTGATGTTGCCGGTCTCACTCCGAGGATCGGATTTTAGCACCGACACGCAAAGGTCTCGAGCTCGCGTGAACGTGCATGCGTCCTCTATCGCCTTGGTTATGTTTGTTGCGGGTTGTTTGGAAGAGGCATGCTGCACAATGGAGAGAGTGGTGAATATGATGCAAAACAGTGGTAGGGAAAATGAGGAAGACTTCATTTTGAATAGAATGATGCCTCTTTGATTTGTTATGAAGGAATCAATTAACTACCCTCTATCATGTAGTAGCTAGTGTGATTGGTATAAATAGAGTGATGTATGATGTGTGATACTCCTTCCTTCAGTTCTTTTTTATTCAGCCAAATTTGACTTTTCAAACCAATGATGTCTGACTTTGATCGATTATATATTTAACACATAAGTATTGATCATATGTTTTTTGTCAAAAATATTATCAGAAAAGTATAATTTTATCAAATTTCATATAAATATTATTTAAAATAATTAGTCAAAGTTAATCATTTTTTATGCCAAAATAAAAAGGAACGAAGTTAGTAGAATTTGACCTCATGGAGGCTATGCCAAAACCACACTAAAAGACCAGGCCATGGCACACATGACAAATTATACTTAGTAGTATATATAAAGGTTTGATATTTTAATCCTGTAACTTGTATTTATTTGTATGAGCCATTTGTCCACTAAACTTACTCACTTATATATTTGTATATTAACCTAACTAATAAATTTGTATATATTATGGACTTTCTCTTCAGAAAGTATACTTTCTGGGGTAATAAAATATACTGAAAAAATGTCATCCTTAATTTCCGTGAGGAAATGCATTTGGATGGAAAAGTCCTTGATGTAGATAATTTTATTAGTTTTATTAGTTAAATCTAATAAAATAAAGTTGTGATCTAATAAGCACAATCAAAATTGTGATCGAGTTAAATCTACAACTTTCTCAATAACACACAAATCGTGCGTCAAGTTTTAAAATTTTATACAAAAAATAATGGTTTTTCCCTAACATATTTTATCATAGATTATAAATATTTTTAAGTTACGAAGTTGGGCAGGAGCTTGATAATTATCCAAATCTGTAGTTTTTAGATGTGATTCATGTGAACTTCGTGAAGATATGTTATATTGTGGTGTATGTGTAGATAATTATTGCATTACATTCTTGTAATATACGTAGTAAAAAGTAATTCTTGCATGCAATCTTGGACACAAATTTTAGCAATTCTTAAATAAGTCAATCGTGGGATCGGGTTGGCAATTGAATGTCTAATTAATGGGCCCCATGTGGTCATGTCATTCATGTACTCGTGACGATGTTTTTGAACGTCTTCTTAGAGCATTTGTAGTGGTTGGGAGTCCAAATTGTTAAATTTGTACTCCGTCCATATGAAAACAGTGTTTTGACTCCGTCAATACTGTTTTTCTCTGCATCCGTGCATCGTCAATAAAATACACTCAACATATTTTTTTACATATCAATTTAGTAAAACATTAATTAATTTATTATAAGTAATGTTTTCCGTTTAATATTTTCCCTAAATAATTGTGAAATAAAAAATACACATTTCGATATAAAAATAAATAAATTTCATTAATTTTTTTTAAATGTTTTCGGTTAACAAAAATGAACTTAGTTCAATTAAAGTTCGATTATAAAATATTCAGTTATTTGTAAAGATTCCATGAATTAAAAATTTGTGTTTCATCGTTTTGTAAACGGAAGAAAACTTCAACAGTTAACATTTAAGAATTTTTGTTTCATTTTATATATTACATATTGGTGTCATATGAAAGATCATAAAATTTTATGAATTTTGATATATATTTTGAAAAATTTGGAGAACAAATAAAAAAGTTACAAGAGTTTAAAACAATTTGGGGTTATAATGATGTCACCATGATGTCAGCGAAAACATGGTTTGGCTGTCAACCCCTCCCTCTATATTTACACTCTTCCACTCCCCTTTCCACTTTTACTCCCCCTTTTAATCCTCCACTACACACAAATAAGAGTCTAAAATCTCCATTTTTAATCTTTTGACTCCTAATCCCCAACCACTACAAATGGTCTTACCATACTTAAAAAATGGGTGTCATGCCTATTATTCATTTGATTAGACCACATCACTTTATCATTTTCAATTTAGATTTAAATAATTCAACTGTAACATTTTCATTGGTTAATGTGGACAAAGGTATGGTACCTTATGGGTACGATAGAATCTACCATACTTAATTACACTTTTTTGTTGGGAAAAGGGGCAAATAAGGTCACGTACTAACAAAAAAGGTCAAATAAAGCCTTATTTTGGTTCTCGATGGAATTTTTTGATGAAATTTTTTGACCTTCTTATTCATTAAGTCTAGTTTACTTATACCAAATTTTACCTAACAATTCAATCGGGAAGACATTCAAATGAATTCTTGAAGATAACTGCACAGTTATCTTCAAGCATTCATTTGAATGTCTTCCCGATTGAAGTTATAGATGAAATTTGGTATGAGTAAACTAGACTTACTGAATAAGATGCTAAAAAAATTTCATCAAAAAATTCGACCGGAAACCAACCCAAATGGCGACGGCCTGACAGAGCCTCTTAAATAAGGCCTTATTTGACCTTTTGGTTAATACGTGGCCTTATTTGCACCTTTTCTTTTTTTGTTCAATATTGAATCCTCAACCTCAAGGACCTCTCACGTCCCGATCTGACATAGCACATGAGAATTCGTAAATCACGGTGACTCAATCAATCCTAACGGTGATAGACCTTTATATCTGTGCGCACCAGAGACCCAGACCAGCACATAAGAGCTATGACCTCCACACGATCGATACGGGTTTCGATCCTCAATCATTTGTCTAACTTTCCCACCGTTTTACCATAGTTTTAATTACACAATAATACTTCATTCGTTCGAAAGAGAAGTTGACTGGTTTTTACCAGTTTACCTTTGTCAAAATTCTTTTGATCATAAAAAAGAGAAATACTGCGGTGGTCTCCGTAGTTATTTCAATACTACATTTTAATAATAAAATTAACTCTGTAATTAATTACCTTCCCCCACCCACTCACCACTGCCCTATTGCCTGCCACATGTCGCCGCCGTCGGCAATAGTGACCACCGTTTACAGTTACTAACTTACTATTAGAGTCCTATAAGTGACTCCGCCCTAACTTTAACTAGACCAGCTCATTAGCGAAAAACGCTCTAACCCTAGCAACAGCCGCACGAGTTCTAGCCGTAGTCATGGAAATCTTAGCTTCCGTTAGTGAAACCCTAGCATCAATAACTGAAACTAGTTTATTCAATGTATAAGTGACTGATACATACTAGTATTATCAATAAAATCCTTCTTAAAAAAGTGAAGGAAATCTTGGTTATGGATGGGGCACAAATGTAGAATGTATGGAGTGCAAATCGGTTAGTGACTACTATAGTACGTAGTACTATAGAGTGAAAATAGTAACTAGCTAGGGAAAGTTTTGAGAGTTTGCAGCAGTAACTAAAATGGTAGTTCCAAGGCCCTCACAACCAAATATATACGGAGTATGAAATTAGTTAGTCATAGCCTTTTATGATGATAAAAAACTTGTATGTTTTTTTTGGGAAAATTGGAATGATATTAATATGATAATATCTTGCTTTTAGTTAGGATGATTAGTTGCAATTGCGTACTCGGATAAATTGCATACAAAATCTTAGCAATAGTCATTTTAACATGGCAGTTTTTATACATTAACCCATGTGTACAAAGTTTTTGTCAATTTTAGTCCTCCCAATATTGTGATATGTGAGAGCGAATCGATTTTATAATTGCCCCCTATTTAGCCCCTTTAGTATTGTTTTTATAATTATTTGGAGATAAATTTTATGTACATTCGAGCTATAATAACTTCACATTAATAGATAATGGGCCTTGAAACTAGCAGGGCTGGCGGGACGGGTCATGGGCTCGCATCTAATGACTCGTGTGGATAACAAGTTGAGTCTGGATTTTGCACTAGCAGTCCTGCCTTGGCCCATTGTGATGCTTAATTAATTATCATCTCCACTGAGAACTGGATCCAGAGTCTAGTTCACCCAATGATTTTGATTGCAATTCTAGGTCCGGTACTAAGTAACTCTAGAGCTGTTTTCAAAAAAAAAACTGTAGAGCTTAAAATTGAAAAAACAAATGTTTTTAAGAAAAAAATGTATTTGAAAAAAATGTTGAAAATGTTATGCATTGACAGTTTGACATTGTAAAAGTATTTTAGTATTAATTGTAAAATACATGCATTATTGTTATACTCATTAGCAATGATAAATGAGTACATGTAAACCAACACCACAAAATCATAGTACGTAGTACTACGTACATAGTAATAGACCGAGAGTCTCAGATTGGATTCGATACTTCGATACAGTATTGAAAAGTAACCGAGAGTCTCATTACAAATATAACTATTTACATAAATATAATAATTCATTACTACAATGTAGTGTTGTAGTAACTTAAGTTCAAAACTTGAACATGAATTACCATGATTTCATTACTACTCTAGTAACTAATCATATTTTTGTAAATCATCTTTATTTTGGTCGTATTTAATTATGTAATTATTTTTGTAGATATGATCTTTTAACTAACAAATTTTTCCACATTTAGGACCTTTCCACCAGGGGCGGATGCAGTAAGGCTAGAGGGGGGGGGCAGCTGCCCCCAATAAATTGGGCAAAGATACAAATTATGAAACAATGTAATAGGCCTAACCAATTTTGGTAGCTACATCAATTGGTTATAATCGGATTGTGATTTGAGGATATTATCAAGATGCAACTATAATAATATTTTAATTTCATAGAAGTACTTCCAAGATGTAAGTATAAAAATATTTTAAAAACTTTTGATAGGAGTTTATAACTTCAAAAAAAAAACAATAGAACAAATAATAGTATACAAATAACTCTGAACAGGGGCGGATCTACATGTATATTAGGGGGGGCAGCTGCCCCCAATAACATTCCAATAGTGCCACATAGAGTATTAGAAAAAACTTGGTCTATACCTTTGTTGCCCCCAATTAAAAAATTGAGTTGCCCCCAACAGGTATAAAATCTAGCGGCTATGGCTAACCCAATTCTAAAGTAATTTCAGATTTTCAATTTTCATCATAGACTAATAGGTAAGGTAAACTAGACAAGATCAAAATAGATGTTTTAAATCCCAAAGTTCATTTCCGAGGAAGTGAAAACAATAAAATGAATTAGCCTTTAGTCCTTTACCAAGAAGCACTGGACGGTGAGAACTAAAAAAGGCATTAAATCAAAGGCTGGGTTACTGTGCAAAAAATTGAAGGGTGTTGGTGCGAACTGTAAAGAAAATAAAA